TAAACGAACACACACACACACACACACACATACAAACAACACACACACAAACAACCTTTTTATAATAAGTATAACTCGATATGAGTTGTCCCCCCTTTCATTCCGAGAACGCGATGCCTCTTAATAGTGTTTTCAAATTGATTTCGCGCAAAAACAATTGTATTTTTCCAATTTTGGGCGCTGTCAGAACCACTGCAAGGTAATTTTACGTAGTCTTGTGAAGGTTTGTTGAAATCGGTTGAAAAATGTAGGAAATCCTATCCAATATATTAAAGACACACACACAACCTGGGTTTTATAATAAGTATGATTACAAAAGTTTGTGCCCGATTTTCATTGTTAATATAAAATTAGCGCAATTTGATACTGGTGTTTGTTTAATGCCGATTTCTGGTACGTGCTATATTCTAACCTTTCATCGATCAGTTGCGAGTCTAACATTTTTTTTTAAAGCGTTTCACCCAAAGCAAGGCGGGAAGCGACTAGGACGCAAGAGGTTATTGAAGATTTGGAGCAAGATCAGATAGGAGTGATAGAGGAAAGGATGAGGAGAAGGATAGTGGATAGAAGGCAACTGAAGATGTCGATTGACATTACATTTGAAAAGTTGGAGATTATAGCTCTCAGGGAAACTGGAATAGGGAAGGGAGTTCCACAGGCGAGAGGTGCGAGACATGAAGCTATTGGAGTAGAAGAGACGGCTACATTTAGTAGTTTCGACAGTGAAAGGGTGAGAGCGAGATGCCAGCCTCGTAGGGCGCTTGAACTCATGAAGTCTGGGAACCAGCGAATGCAGCTCCTCGGAGCAATTGCCATGAAAGTATTTGTAAAAAAGACAGAGAGAGGCGACGACGCGTCTGTGAGAGAGTGACTCTCTGTCGAATGTTTTGTCCATAAATGAATACCTCAAAGATGGCGGACAAAAAGTTGCACTTTCGTCATATTGTGTTCTATGAATGTCGGAAAGGAATAAAAGTCTGAATTGCGACACAAAAAAAAAAAACACATTCAGAAGACTTATTTGTATCGTACTCCAGCTCTTCGGAAGTGGTTTGGCACATTTCGTCAGGATGATTTTCACCTAAACAATCAACGACATCCCGGACAACCATCGGACCTCGATGAAGACGTTCTGCTTTCCATCGTAAAGGAATAAACTCGAATAATTTGACGGAAGAGATTGCTAAGAGTTTGAAAATCGATATCTCTACTGCCTTTCGCCATTTCAAGAGATTTGTGTTCGAGAAAAACGGCCGATTTGGCAAATCAAAAGATGCCATTTTCCACCACGAGAACGCAAGACAACATGTTGCGAAAGAGACCACACAAAAGCTTAAAAAGTAGAAATAAAAAACCCTCCAGCATTCATCGTGTTCTCCTACTTGACTCCTTCGGATTTACATTTGTTCCAATCCTGACAGAACAGTTTAAATAAAAAATAAACTCAGAACCGTCAGTCGAAAACTTCACAACCTTCTTCCAACAAAAACACGAAGTTTCTACGAAAATGGCATCAACACACTCGTAGAACGATGGGAGACAGTTGTTGAAAACAATGGAGACTGTGTACTTGACTAATAATTTAATAAATGTTTTTTGTGAGCATGAAAAGTTTTGTTTTTAATTTTCAAATTGAGGACGGACTATTGCAATTATTTAATATATTTGATCTTCAGCATTTACTTGGTTGATGGACTCTTTTAGGAGTTTTATCTTTCTACACAAGGATGCAGTCGACATATTCGCGACACTATCGCGAGGGCAGAAAGTGTTATGGTCTTACCTTAAATTCATAATTAAACGAAATATGGGCATCTCGATGTGGTGCAATGGTTACCAAGCTTGTCTTGCTAGCTCAATTATGACTGAGTAGCGAGTCGTGCTCCATACTTCCTGTTCATTGGGTGCTCCATACTTTCAACCTTGTGTCACATCTAAGCTATGCCCAAGTAAATCACCATAATTAAACGAAGCACTGTCAATTATTATTGTTAGTAGGCAATAAGAACGCTAGGTATAAGGCTTCGTTCTAGGTTTGGGACAGCAGCCTAGTGGATAAAAGCCTTAATTTGGTAACATGATATTTGTGAGTTCAATTCCTAGGCCGAGTAATACAGATTCAGAATCTGTGGGAACAGTGTGATCAATAGCTGAACAGTACTAAAAGACGAGATATCCTTAGACATGACCAGCAGAACCAGAAAAAAAAGTCTGCCTTTTAAATAAAGGGTTCAGTTTGAATTCCCAGAAGATTATCGGGATCGACAAGACACCCGAAGTAGGCTGTTGGTTACAACGATCGAAATATCGCGATAATGACAACAAAGATAAGAATGTAAATATTATTAAGTTTTCAACTGGTTTTTCTTTCAACGAAATTTTACATGAACATTCTCAGACCGTCATTTTGTAGTCGTTAGCAAGCAGGATGGATCAGAAATAAATCCGGCGTTCATAGGGAAAATAAAATAGTTACAATTTTATATGGTTAGATTAGTATTTCTTTAGTTTATTGCCTTCGAACCATAAATTGGTAAGACAGGTGTCACGCTAAAGTAGGCTTCTTAAAGAAAAAGAGGTGATAATTTGTGTCTTTTTTTATCATCTCACTCTAAGCAAGACTATAATGCCATTAGTACTCAGGGGATTACAGGGAGTGAAAGTCAGGGGGAAGACAATGAATAGGAAGGAATGAAAAAAGGGGATTCAAGAAGATAGAAGATAGTGATTGACATTGTATTTAAATTTTTAAAGATTGTTATCAGTAAATATATGGAAAGGAGTTTCACATATGGGAAATGAGAGTAAAAATTCATTGTAGTAGAAGTGGCGGTTGCATTTACCTATTTAAAAAGTAAAATGGTGGGATCTAGATGCTAATCTAGCAGCACGCTTAAATTCATGTAGTCTGGCCACTAGGGAAAAGATCATCAGAGCAGTTGGCATGAAAGTATTTGTAAAAAAAAACAAAAAAAAAAAAAAAAAAAAAAAAAAAAACAGAAGGAAGTCATATCACGTCGGTGAGAAAGTGACTGAAGTCGAGATGTCTGGCCAGGATCGATTATATTACACATCCTTCTTTGGATTTTGCCAAGAATCTCAAAATATACAGCAGGAACACCAGACCAGATATTCAACGAACGGACGAATGGTAAATTTCTAAACGTGCAAGATGGATTCTAACGAGTATTTTTTTTCTGGCATGACAACTTTCCTTGCAGTAGTTGCAGCTATTGATTCGATGTAGCCGTTCCAATTCAAGCCAATGGAAAGCGTGAGGTCAAGAAGGCGGAGTGTGTTAGCGGAAAAAAATTATTTTAGAGCCATAGATTGAGGTTTGAAAAGTTGTGCTGTGAAATATTTAAAATTAAAAAGATAGGAATTAGTAAAATAATAATAATCATAGATTTAGGCCTTCTTTAAAATAGACAAACTTATTGATTACAGATTCAAATATGGAAAAAGAGTAACTGATAATTTTGATTAAAACATAATTCATAACAAAATCCACAAAATAAGAAAAAGAAACTCACAATACCATCTCCAGATCAGCATTCTAAGATTTCCTACCTGTTTTTGAAGGTCATCGAAGACTTTTACGATATCTGTTGATTTATTGCTCGCTTCAGATATTTCAGTGCCAATGTCAACATTTGAGTTTTGCTACAAAGAGACAACATAAAACTGAATAGCATAAAATACAAGAAGTAGTAAACAAAAGTTTGCATTTATAACATCCCAGGAACATATAGAAAATAATATAACGACGAAACCATAGACACTAAGATGTGGTGCTCTGCAACTACCCTCAAGGAAAGTTGGCTCTCTGTGTCGTGCCAGAAAGTTTTTTTCTCGTCTGAGTCTATTCTTTAAATCTATAAATCAACCATCCGTCCTTGCTGTGAATATTTCTGTCATATATGGTCTGGAGCTCCCGCTGTACGTTTCGATGTCCTTGACAAAATCCAGAGATGAATATGCAAGATGATATGTCCTGATCTGGCATCTAGTCTACAATGGCTATCCCACAGACATACCGTGGTCTCCCTCTGTCTCTTTTCACGGCAACTGTTCCGACGAGGTACTTTCGCTGGTTCCCGGACTACATGAATTTAAACGAGCTACCAGGCTGGCATCTTGGTCCCACACTTTCACTGTCAAAACGCTTAAACGTAACCATCTCTTCTCAAACGCACTTCCCGTCTGTGGACCCCGCCTTCCCCTTACTTGCTTCCCCGATGACTATTATCTTCAAATATTGAAGTGACACCCTGAGCTTGTTCCCCGTCCTTCTCTGTATCCTTTCCTCAAACACATCTCTTTACTCTTGTTCACAATCCTCTGTAATCCGTTGCGTGCTAGTGGCACTCCCACCTTGCTTGGGGGCGAATTGCCTTAAAAAAATGTTAGCAAGCTTGTTTTGCTAGATCAGTTATGACTGAGTAGTCAATTCACACTTTCAACCTCGTGCCACGTTTAAGCTATGCTTAGAAAAACATTAAATAATTCGGCTGGGATAGTTTGAAATTAATATTAGCTCAAGCCACAGGGGGACCATCTCCCCATACAGTATCTTTCCTTCGGGAGGGGTCTGGGGTCATTACCCAAATTTTCCACGGTATTGCTGTTAAACCCACTTTAAACCGACCTTTTGTTACATTTGGTAGCCACATGAGCAGACGGAAAATTACACAATTACAGCTGAGTAGTGAGTCTACTTCTCACTGGTTGCTCCATACTCACGGCCTTAAGCTAGGCTTTTTCAAACATTACGGGGGCACTTCAACATGGTATAAGGTTTTAGCAAAATTGTCTCGCTAGATCAATTACAACTGAATAGTAAGTTTGGTTCTCACTGGGTGCACCATAATTTCAGCCTTGTGCCTAATCTAAGCTACGCTTCGTAAATTGTTATAACTGCGAAAGCAGCCTCTCTGAGGAAAACTGAGACTATCACAGCTATAATTAAAGGTGAAGCAGAAAATTCAGAAATGGCAGAACTATGCACAGAGAGAGTAGAATTTCACAACTCTCTTTCGAATCGGGATGAAATGATCGGAAACATTGCTGAGAGAGAGAGAGAGAGAGAGAGAGAAATGAACGAAGCGGATTGGTCTATAAACCAGACCAATGTGGATGTTCTTGCTCAGCAGAGAGAGAATATTCACAGAGTGCGCCAGACACACAAGTATGTACAGTCAACGAGGAAATTATTCGTACACCCATCAATTTTGAATATTTTTATCAATTTCTCAGAATCTAATGCACGATTTGTTGACGACACATCAAAGTCCTCAAAATACGCACAATGACTTTAATCAGAGGTCTCAAACACGCAACCCAGTGAACTGATTTTTGTGACCAATATCTTAAAATTTCAGTAAAATTGGTCCTCGCCACTATGTGCCGTAGAAACAGCGAGCTTGACCTACCCACCAAGTGCAAACAGACAGTCAATCAGTTTTAAGATCCGCAGGATCTATGCTACTTCGACCTCCCTATCAACACATATTCTTGATCAGCTTACCTGACGAGAGTTTACAAATGTTTCGATCTCCTTTTCTTTTAATTTTACAAGAAATAAATTTCGCAACTCGTATTAAGTAGAGCTGGCCACCATGCAAAAGTTCTTGCTCCCTCCTTAGGTATGCTAAATAACTTCAATGCGAGAAAGTGCGCTTCTACCAGTGGGTCTCCTCTGGAGTTGATAACCACAGACGGGATTGGATTTCCTCTATACTGGTAATAATTTCACAACGTGCCTACTTATTATCCACTACACCTCTCCTTCAGCACATAATGGCCCCTTTGTGTCTTTGAATTTGAGAACCCAAAACTAAATAAAGAAAGTCTCAATATAGAAATAAAACGAAAGTAATGTTCAATTGTAATGTTCTGAAAATATATAAGAATAAAATCTGAAGAACTGGAATACATATATTTTAATAGTTAAAAAGTGGTTACTCTATGTGAGAGAATTTGAGGAAAAATATTATTAAAAAGGGAGGACAATAAAAGAAAAGGCATTAACAAGACAAAAGATTATATATATGTGTGTATGTATGTATGTTATAATAAAACCATTTCGAAAAAAAATCAATACTATGATTGTACTTCTTCAGGCGATAGTTTGAAAAACTTATTTAGCCGATAATTTTTAACCATTTCGCCCCAAGCAAGGCAATAAAGCCACTAAAACACAAGGGTTCACTCAGCATGTAAGAATCCGAGAGAAAAAAAATACATGATTAAAGATAGAGGACAAGAAAAGTGTAGGAATTAAGGAGACAGAAAATCAAGTCAAGACTATAACATGACGAGTTAGAAGGATTTTGTAGAAAAGATCATATGCCGACTCTTACTATTTAAATAGAGAAAGTCTCAATATAGAAATAAAACAGAAGTAATGTTCTGAAAATATATAAGAATAAAATCTGAAAAAAACTGTAAAAAATCTTTTTTTAATACTCAAAAAGGGGTTACTGTATGTGAGAAAATATAAGGAAAAATATTATTAAAGAGGGAGGACAATAAAAGAAAAGGAATTAAGTAGACAAAGGATTATATATCCCTTTTTCTTTTCTTTTCCTCTCCCTCCCTCTTCTTCTGATCTTTAAGATTAGATCGTCTATTGTGTGTGTATGTCACCACAAAATGTATCCTTTCCAGTTACATCTTTAATGTATTAGACATCCGACAACATTCATATTTCTCTCACTTAAACCGTCTTTGACTCCCCTCTCTAAAACTTCTCACTGTTAAATTTTAATCTCCCACCTTCTCTCGTCTGTTACTCCTCTCTATAGCTCTAACGTTCGTCCCACACTCTCATACTTACACTCTCTCTAAATTTTATTTTTTCTTTCCGGAGTTGTTTTTTTCTGTTTTCTTTTTGAATTTGCATGTCTGATGAATTGGATCGTATTTACGACTAGCAGTAGAGCCCGGCGTTGCCCGGGGATATAACAGTAAGAGATAGATCAAGTATCCACCATCATAAAGACTGAAAAATAAAATTGACAAAGATTATTGTTTAAGGTTGACGGACACGCATGTCTTAATTAGTTTTTTTTTTTTTTGGTGGACGAATTGGTCAAACTCAAACAAAAACATTGTTTTCAATCGTTATGAGTCTATCGATTGATGAATAGAATTTTATTATAAACAATTGTCTTGTAAATGGAATTTTTAAAGCATTCTGAATGTAAAAATAAAGAAAAAAGTGTGCAAGACAATAAGAAACACTACATGCCAAAAAAGTGAAGTTTTGTTGAAATCGGTTGAAAAATGTAGGTAGCCTTTCTGTAATCTTTTAGTTTTACAATTTATGATTTTTACTTATTGAATACAGTAAAAAATATTGCATATTTTGCTTGTGGTGATTCATAATTAGAATTCTGATTTGAATATATTTTCCACTCGTTGTTTCTAATACAAAAAATATTAACTTTATTTGGGTTTATTAATTTATTACAAGTACTGTGTTCTTTCCTTAATAATTATCATCTTCGAAATATTGTTGTTTTTTGTCTATCAGATTTCTTACGTTGGCATTTTAAAATTATTTCTTAATACTTTCTTTTAAATATTGAATTAATTTAAAATAAAACCAATGCCTTATTGATCTGCCTTGTAACAAATTGCAAAGGGAATTGTAAAAACGGCCCTAAAGTACGTGGAATTATCTTTCCCTAGTTAGATAGTTGTTTAGGTTGACGGACACGCATGTCTTAGTTTTTTTTTTTTTACGAATTGGTCAAACCCAAACTCAAACAAAAACATTGTTTTTAATCGTTATGATGAGTCCCCCGATTGAATAGAATTAGAATTTTATTATAAATAATTGTCTTGTAAATGGAATTTTTAAAGCATTCTGAATGTATAAATAAAGTGTGCAAGACAATAAGAAACACCACCTGCCAAAAAAAAAGTGGATGTTTGTTTTATCGGCTGAAAAATGTAAGAAATCCGATCCCATATATAAAGGAACACACACACACACAAACAACCTGGGTTTTTTAACCTAAGTCACTCCACGGAATCGCTAAAACATAGAGCATAGTCTGATGAAAAAGACGCCAAAGTTTATGAAAACAAAATTTTATCGTCAAAATGCTTATGTTTTTATGAAGAGGATAGACTAAATTTTTTTAAAATTATTTTTTAAAATTTTTCCATCTTTTTAGAATATTCTAAATTTTGATTTAAAAAACCTTGTTTCACTTTGTCGCAACAAGGGGTAGTAAATAACATAGATAATTTTTAGCGCGTTTTTTTTGTATTTACACACATTAATTTGGAAAATCTTGCAAAAATAAAAATAATTGTCAGATGTTAATGAAACTTTCAGAAACTATTCACAGATGATCGAAATTATTATAAATATGTTTTTTTTTATTAAAGTCATGGCAGAAATATTTTTTTATATTTATTATCACCCCCATAACTAATTTTATGAAAAACTCTAGAAATTCGAGACCATCGGTTTTAGTGATTACAATAGTTAAAAGCACAAGGCTTTGAAGAATGCAAATCATGTTTTTTTTTTTTTTTATTTGGCCAACGTACCTGAAAATCAGCTGTGAATTGTAACATACAAAACTCAATAAAACAAATATATTATTTAGTTTCAAATGCTTTTGTTTTAATTTGTTTTTATGTATATGGACAATATTTTCTGAAAGCAAAAAATTTTTTCAATGAAAATTGAATTTTTAATACAATTATTTCTTATTTCTTTAATTTTAAAAATATTTTTAAAAAAATTTTTAAAAAATTTTTAAATTGAATTTTTAAAAATATTTTAACATTAGTTAAAAGCAACATCAAAATGTCCGTGTGAGATTGTCATTGTCTAGCGCTTTGAAAATTGTATAATTTGGACCAATCAAATTAGCCATGGTAATTAAGAAATGTAATTTTTGTGTTTATAGTCGGACAGTAATTATCAAGTACGGAAGACCAACCAGAATACAATTTAGTTGCATTATTTGAGTTCAGCATTGTTCTCCGCTGTTAAGCCTTTTACTTTTGCCAAACACGTATGGAGAAGTTAATTTGAGTTTTCAATTTCAGCTGAGAAGGGTACCTACAAGTAACAGTATCATCTTATGAAATTTAACTACTGCTAAACTTTAATTTATATGATCTTATTTTTATATTAATCTAAGTTATGACATTTTTCCATAAATGAAATATCAAAATTAATAATAAAATGAATGGAAATACAAATAACACAGTAGAAAGGTACCTAAATTAATTAGATACCTTTTTCTTATGAAATTTAATCTCACTATTAACAGTCTTATTTTTTTAATTTCTTTATATTTTCCATAAAGCATCGTAAACGTAAAAATGAAAGCTAAGTACAAAAAAAAAAAAAAATTAGAGCGCTGAAAGTTTTCCTTAAAAGTAACGAGGTGAATAATTTGTTCACTTAAATAATTTCACTTCCTTCCATCCGTAGAAAGAATTATCCTCCCGTAAGTTATCTAAACGTCAATCGTCAAGCGACTCGAAAGGTTATGACTTGCTTTGTTTTATTTTCAAATTACATTTTTTCGGCGCAGAAGCTAAGTTAAGCTTGGTTCAAAATATTTTAAATAAACAGTATAATTTCTGTTTTTATTAAAATCAGTTTTGAAAAAATGATAATTGGTTTTTAAAAGAATATCAAAGTCAGATTTTAATCTTTTTTTATCAAATCGAAAAAAATGATTGGAAAATGATTATCTGTCCTTTTTTTTGACAAAAAAACAAAAAACAAAAAAAAACAATATTTTTAACGAAAATTTCAGACGTGCTAGGAATGATTAAAAAAATGTAAAAAAATATCCCCAAAATACTTTGATCTTTAATAATAATATGAACATTAGACGATAAAATTTTTGTTTTCGTCAAGTTCGGCTTTTTTTCATGCTATGCTCTTTTGTTTACATTTTGGGTGAGTTGTCCCCTTTCATTTCTTTCAAATCGTGTTTTCAAATTTTTGTAAAAAAAAATGTGTTTTTCCCATTTTCGGCGCCGTTAGAACCACCACAAGGTAATTTTATGTTGTCCTGTGAAGTTTTGTTGAAATCGGCTAAAAAATGTAGGAAATTCGATCCAATATATAAACGTTACATACACACACAATATGCGTTTTATAATAAGTAAGATTACAATGGAATAAATTATCACCATGGAATATTAGTGTTTAAGCCTTTATATATATATATATATATATATATATATATATATATTAATGCATGTTTCGTTAAATAATATAGACAAATTTTGTCTATTTTATATATATATATATAAAATAAATAAACTTATATTTATTTTATGTATTCCAAATTCTTCAAATTTTATTCTTATATATATATATATCAGTGTGTGTGTATGTGTGTGTGTGCGAGTGAGTATAAGAATAAAATTTGAAGAATTTGGAATACATCGTTTTTATAGTTAGATGCCAATAACTGTGCAGATACTTTGCATTTCATTAAAAAAATCTCTAAATACGTAGAGAAGCAATAGACCAGATGTAATAGCAATATTTATTGCTGGACGAATCAGATTCATAAATGTTTTAGATAGATAGATTCTGACGAGAAAAAAAATGTTTATCAGGACACAGGGAACCGACTTTCTTAGCAACAGACCTAACAATTGATTCGTTACAATATTTCGACTTTATGTCAGCAGAAAACATTAGCCCGAGAAGGCGCCATGAATCACTCTCCTGGAGGCTAGCATCTTTTTTGCTGATGGATGGTTCTCTCAAACGGTTAAAAGAGAACAGTTTCGTTTTGGAGGCGTTAAATTTAACAATCCTACTCAGGACAGGTGATATCATTAAGGGGAAACAATAGGAATGAAATAAAACGATTTATAGCTATACGGTAAAAGTAAATATAACGAAAAGCGTCTTGGCAATATGCTTAAAATGTTTAATGTATAATTAATATATAAAGTCAGTTATAGCATAATCAAAGCCTTGGAACCAAATTTAGAAACACGGAAATATCATCAATGGACAAGCAATGACAAGGATAGTTCCAAGAGACAGAAAAGAGGTCAACATGTATCAGTAAACAAACCCAGATAAGAGATTTCACAGAACTGATTTAAACTATAAAAAATGTGGTGGGGTAGCCAGAAGGAAGAGTAATAGATAAAAGAAAAGATTCTTTGATCGTTACTCAATAAGAAGCACGCGTAGTAGGAAAAACCAAAGACAAGAGGGAAAAATAAAATGGCGGCGTTTCCTGGTTCGACATCGTGACAGGATTGTGTAGTAACCCCGCCATGTCTGATTATTTAGTTTTTGTTAAATATTTCGGAGATATAGAGGATTTTACCGGAAGTTAAAATGAATTTTTAAAAAATCTTGATTAATTTTATTTTTAATCGTTGAATACTGCTGCTACATCTGGTCTGGTTCTTTTGCTATACATTTAAAGATCATTTACATAATATAAAGAATCCGCAATCTCATTGGTTTTGACCTGGCATTTCGCCTTCAGTCACTTACCCACTGCTCTAATGTTGTTACCTTGTGAATTTTTCCGATGAATCTTTCTCTATCTTATCTAGACTTTATGAATTTAGGCGCAATACTATAATGGTGGCAAAATCTCATCTGCTAACACTCAAAATGGCTACATGCGACCGTAAGTTCTTTGCTAACAGTTTCTTTTATCGCACTTCTCTTTCGTGGAACTCCTGCTTCGGATATCCCAGTCATCTCTGATCATTAAAAATTTAACTGAAATGTCAATCGTTATCCAGTCTCTTCTTAAAATTTATTTTTTAATGTTATCTCTCGTTAATAGAGATTTTTTCTTCATATTCAGTAACACTCAGTAACCACTAACATCGTAGTGACTTTATTTCATTGCTTGGTGTGAAATGATAAAAGAAAATGTAGATCCGGATTTTCATATGATAAAAAACAGACTATACATGTGTATCTGAAAATTAATATGGAAAAAGGTGTTCTTACCTTTGTAGATGAAGAAAGAGTAGTTGAAGATTTGGTAGTTGGAAACGAAAGTCTTACTACGGGTGTAACGTCAGTAGTAGAAGCTGAAGAAAGCATGATTTTCATTGAAGTAGAATAAACGGTTGAATGTTGTGTTCTGTTGAGGACATTGGGAACATTGCTTGGAGTTGAAACAAAAGACGGGACTGTGTTTGGAACAGTAGGAACATTGCTGGAAGTTGAATAAAACAAGGTCCCATTTATAGTAGATGGAACTATAAAAGTTAGGAGTCCGTTTGGAAAAGTGTGAAATTTACTTGTACTGGAAACCAAGACGGGCTGATGTGTAGTATTTGAAATTATTGAAGGCTGGGCTGTGTTTAGAACAGGAGGAGCTTTACTTGTGATGGAAACAAACACGTTCCCATTTGTAATAGTCGGAATTGATGAAGTCTGGGTTGTGTTTGGAATAGAACGAGCTTGACTTGTAGTGGAAACAATCACGTGCCCATTTGTAATAGTCGGAATTGTGGGTTGTGTTTGGAATAGAACGAGCTTGACTTGTAGTGGAAACAATCACGTGACCATTTGTAGTAGTCGGAATTATTGAAGTCTGGGTTGTGTTTGGAATAGAACGAGCTTGACTTGTGGTGGAAACAAACACGTGCCCATTTGTAGTAGTCGGAATTGATGAAGTCTGGGTTGTGTTTGGAATAGAACGAGCTTGACTTGTAGTGGAAACAATCACGTGCCCATTTGTAATAGTCGGAATTGTTGAAGGCTGGGTTGTGTTTGGAATAGAACGAGCTTGACTTGTAGTGGAAACAATCACGTGCCCATTTGTAATAGTCGGAATTGTTGAAGTCTGGGTTGTGTTTGGAATAGAACGAGCTTGACTTGTAGTGGAAACAATCACGTGACCATTTGTAGTAGTCGGAATTATTGAAGGCTGGGTTGTGTTTGGAATAGAACGAGCTTGACTTGTGGTGGAAACAAACACGTGCCTATTTGTAGTAGTCGGAATTGATGAAGTCTGGGTTGTGTTTGAAATAGAATGGGCTTGGCTTGTAGTGGAAACAATCACGTGCCCATTTGTAATAGTCGGAATTGTTGAAGGCTGGGTTGTGTTTGGAATAGAACGAGCTTGACTTGTAGTGGAAACAAACACGTGCCCATTTGTAGTAGTCGGAATTGATGAAGTCTGGGTTGTGTTTGGAATAGAATGGGCTTGACTTGTAGTGGAAACAATCACGTGCCCATTTGTAATAGTCGGAATTATTGAAGGCTGGGTTGTGTTTGGAATAGAACGAGCTTGACTTGTAGTGGAAACAAACACGTGCCCATTTGTAGTAGTCGGAATTATTGAAGGCTGGGTTGTGTTTGGAATAGAACGAGCTTGACTTGTAGTGGAAACAATCACGTGACCATTTGTAGTAGTCGGAATTATTGAAGGCTGGGTTGTGTTTGGAATAGAACGAGCTTGACTTGTAGTGGAAACAAACACGTGCCCATTTGTAATAGTCGGAATTGATGAAGTCTGGGTTGTGTTTGGAATAGAATGGGCTTGAATTGTAGTGGAAACAAACATGTGCCCATTTGTAGTAGTCGGAATTATTGAAGGCTGGGTTGTGTTTGGAATAGAACGAGCTTGACTTTTAGTGGAAACAAACACGTGACCACTTGTAGTAGTGGGAATTATTGAAGGCTGGGTTGTGTTTGGAATAGAACGAGCTTGACTTGTGGTGGAAACAAACACGTGCCTATTTGTAGTAGTCGGAATTGATGAAGTCTGGGTTGTGTTTGGAATAGAATGGGCTTGGCTTGTAGTGGAAACAAACACGTGCCCATTTGTAATAGTCGGAATTGATGAAGTCTGGGTTGTGTTTGGAATAGAACGAGCTTGACTTGTAGTGGAAACAATCACGTGCCCATTTGTAGTAGTCGGAATTGATGAAGTCTGGGTTGTGTTTGGAATAGAATGGGCTTGGCTTGTAGTGGAAACAAACACGTGCCCATTTGTAGTAGTCGCAATTATTGAAGGCTGGGTTGTGTTTGGAATAGAACGAGCTTGATTTTTAGTGGAAACAAACACGTGACCATTGTAGTAGTCGGAATTGATGAAGTCTGGGTTGTGTTTGGAATAGAATGAGCTTGGCTTGTAGTGGAAACAATCACGTGCCCATTTGTAATAGTCGAAATTATTGAATGCTGGGTTGTGTTTGGAATAGAACGAGCTTGACTTGTAGTGGAAACAATCACGTGACCATTTGTAGTAGTCGGAATTATTGAAGGCTGGGTTGTGTTTGGAATAGAACGAGCTTGACTTGTAGTGGAAACAATCACGTGCCCATTTGTAGTAGTCGGAATTATTGAAGGCTGGGTTGTGTTTGGAATAGAACGAGCTTGACTTGTAGTGGAAACAAACACGTGCCCATTTGTAGTAGTCGGAATTATTGAAGGCTGGGTTGTGTTTGGAATAGAACGAGCTTGACTTGTAGTGGAAACAATCACGTGACCATTTGTAGTAGTCGGAATTATTGAAGGCTGGGTTGTGTTTGGAATAGAACGAGCTTGACTTGTGGTGGAAACAAACACGTTCCCATTTGTAGTAGTCGGAATTATTGAAGGCTGGGTTGTGTTTGAATAGAACGAGCTTGACTTGTAGTGGAAACAATCACGTGACCATTTGTAGTAGTCGGAATTATTGAAGGCTGGGTTGTGTTTGGAATAGAACGAGCTTGATTTGTAGTGGAAACAAACACGTGCCCATTTGTAGTAGTCGGAATTGATGAAGTCTGGATTGTGTTTGGAATAGAATGGGCTTGGCTTGTAGTGGAAACAAACATGTGCCCATTTGTAGTAGTCGGAATTATTGAAGGCTGGGTTGTGTTTGGAATAGAACGAGCTTGACTTTTAGTGGAAACAAACACGTGACCACTTGTAGTAGTGGGAATTATTGAAGGCTGGGTTGTGTTTGGAATAGAACGAGCTTGACTTGTGGTGAAACAAACACGTGCCTATTTGTAGTAGTCGGAATTGATTGAAGTCTGGGTTGTGTTTGGAATAGAATGGGCTTGGCTTGTAGTGGAAACAAACACGTGACCATTTGTAGTAGTCGGAATTGATGAAGTCTGGGTTGTGTTTGGAATAGAACGAGCTTGACTTGTAGTGGAAACAATCACGTGCCCATTTGTAGTAGTCGGAATTGATGAAGTCTGGGTTGTGTTTGGAATAGAATGGGCTTGGCTTGTAGTGGAAACAAACACGTGCCCATTTGTAGTAGTCGCAATTATTGAAGGCTGGGTTGTGTTTGGAATAGAACGAGCTTGATTTGTAGTGGAAACAAACACGTGCCCATTTGTAGTAGTCGGAATTGATGAAGTCTGGGTTGTGTTTGGAATAGAATGGTCTTGGCTTGTAGTGGAAACAAACACGTGCCCATTTGTAGTAGTCGGAATTATTGAAGGCTGGGTTGTGTTTGGAATAGAACGAGCTTGACTTGTAGTGGAAACAATCACGTGACCATTTGTAGTAGTCGGAATTGATGAAGGCTGGGTTGTGTTTGGAATAGAACGAGCTTGATTTGTAGTGGAAACAAACACGTGCCCATTTGTAGTAGTCGGAATTGATGAAGTCTGGGTTGTGTTTGGAATAGAATGGGCTTGGCTTGTAGTGGAAACAAACACGTGCCCATTTGTAGTAGTCGGAATTATTGAAGGCTGGGTTGTGTTTGGAATAGAACGAGCTTGATTTTTAGTGGAAACAAACACGTGCCCATTTGTAGTAGTCGGAATTATTGAAGGCTGGGTTGTGTTTGGAATAGAATGGGCTTGGCTTGTAGTGGAAACAATCACGTGCCCATTTGTAATAGTCGGAATTATTGAATGCTGGGTTGTGTTTGGAATAGAACGAGCTTGACTTGTAGTGGAAACAATCACGTGACCATTTGTAATAGTCGAAATTATTGAAGGCTGGGTTGTGTTTGGAATAGAACGAGCTTGAATTGTAGTGGAAACAATCACGTGCCCATTTGTAATAGTCGGAATTATTGAAGGCTGGGTTGTGTTTGGAATAGAACGAGCTTGACTTGTAGTGGAAACAAACACGTGCCCATTTGTAGTAGTCGGAATTGATGAAGTCTGGGTTGTGTTTGGAATAGAACGAGCTTGACTTGTAGTGGAAACAATCACGTGACCATTTGTAGTAGTCGGAATTATTGAAGGATGGGTTGTGTTTGGAATAGAACGAGCTTGACTTGTGGTGGAAACAAACACGTTCCTATTTGTAGTAGTCGGAATTGATGAAGTCTGGGTTGTGTTTGAAATAGAATGGGCTTGGCTTGTAGTGGAAACAAACACGTGCCCATTTGTAATAGTCGGAATTATTGAATGCTGGGTTGTGTTTGGAATAGAACGAGCTTGACTTGTAGTGGAAACAAACACGTGCCCATTTGTAGTAGTCGGAATTGATGAAGTCTGGATTGTGTTTGGAATAGAATGGGCTTGGCTTGTAGTGGAAACAAACACGTGCCCATTTGTAGTAGTCGGAATTATTGAAGGCTGGGTTGTGTTTGGAATAGAACGAGCTTGATTTTTAGTGGAAACAAACACGTGACCATTTGTAGTAGTCGGAATTATTGAAGTCTGGGTTGTGTTTGGAATAGAATGAGCTTGACTTGTAGTGGAAACAAACACGTGCCCATTTGTAATAGTCGGAATTGATGAAGTCTGGGTTGTGTTTGGAATAGAACGGGCTTGACTTGTAGTGGAAACAAACACGTGCCCATTTGTAATAGTCGGAATTGATGAAGTCTGGGTTGTGTTTGGAATAGAACGAGCTTGACTTGTAGTGGAAACAATCACGTGCCCATTTGTAGTAGTCGGAATTGATGAAGTCTGGGTTGTGTTTGGAATAGAATGGGCTTGGCTTGTAGTGGAAACAAACACGTGCCCATTTGTAGTAGTCGCAATTATTGAAGGCTGGGTTGTGTTTGGAATAGAACGAGCTTGATTTGTAGTGGAAACAAACACGTGCCCATTTGTAGTAGTCGGAATTGATGAAGTCTGGGTTGTGTTTGGAATAGAATGGGCTTGGCTTGTAGTGGAAACAAACACGTGCCCATTTGTAGTAGTCGGAATTATTGAAGGCTGGGTTGTGTTTGGAATAGAACGAGCTTGACTTGTAGTGGAAACAATCACGTGCCCATTTGTAGTAGTCGGAATTGTTGAAGTCTGGGTTGTGTTTGGAATACAAGCAACATTAATTGTAATTGAATCAGACACGTGCCCATTTGTAGCAGGCGGAATTGTTGCAGGGTGGCCTTCGTTGAAAATAGAAGGAAATTTGCTTCTAGTGGAAACAAAAACGTGCCCATTTGCAGTAGTCGGTGATATTTTTGATGGCTCTTCTGTGCTTGGAATATTATATAGTTGGGATATAGCTGAAATTACCGGGATTTGGTGTTTAATAACGGGACTTGTTGAAGTTTGTGTTGTATTCTGTATCTTTGTAGCTGAAAAAGCACGTACGATTTTTATAGCTGTTATTTCTGTTTGTAACTGAATCGTTAATAGTGTCAGTAGCAGATTATAATATAATTAATATATGTATGTTTTTATAAAATATAGCAAATAAAAATAACTTGTGGTAAATTATATTATTAAACATCTTTTTAAACAGATATATATGTTCTAGTTCTTATTTATTTTCCTGATCGACATTATCTCCAAATTGTCCACCTAAATTTTCTATTCCATTTTCCTTCCACCAAACTGTCCACTAAACAAGGCAGATGGTTAAGATGGATTTATATGTTATTCAAAGTTATTAGCATAACAGTATCGATTGAAATTTGTACCTGGCTCGCTAGTTACATTTTTTTTTTGCTGTTATCACTGTTGTACTATCTGCACATCTATCTTTGCACTGTATACAGAGTGAATGACAAAATCATCACCCAATGCTGTGTTTAATTATTAGTTCTTCCTTTACCACTAAAATATTTATCTCTCATTGCGGTTTCTTGCTTTAAATGTCAACTGGTATTCAAGTTCACTCCAGACATCAAGTTGATCTCATATACTTAAAAATCATCGGCTAGAAATGATACCGCTCCAGAATGCACCGTACTTCATCTGTTATGCTCTATATTTACAAGAGTCTTATCAAGCCAAAAATGGAAGATTGCTAACATATCTGAGCTGGAGCTGTCCAATCCAGTCTTGACAGTGTTCAAAAGCGTCTACGCAGCCTTTTGGGTGATGAATTATTTTTCACTCTGTTATGATGGTGATTTGGGGTTAGTAGAGACAAACGCCAAATAACACGTAACAATAAAAGGGTTTTAATAGGTTGGTAAAAAAGTACAGAAATCGCCTGAGTAGTCAATAACTAGCTCAGCTAAGAACTTCTCTGTCTATCTCACTTCCTCATGTCAACTGACATGCCACTATTTAAAGTCTTTGTTCACAGACGCAGACAAGTTCATCTTCAAGAGGGGTGGTAAGTTTCCGACACAACACACTCTACAACCCTCTTTTACACAGATGAAATATCATAAGCTTCTCGCTTGTCTATCGCTATTTCCATGGAAAATATTCTGGCAAGCTACATTCCTTAGTTCCACCAGTTCTGACCATCACAGTTAAAACCAGGTACACAACTTCGAATTATCCTAATTTTCATTGTTTTCCTTTTGTAAGGAGGAGCTTAAGAAGAACCTTCATTTGAGCAGCTTCTCCCTAAGAGCAGATACTTTGTGGAACAGATTCCCGAATAGATGCTTCCCCAATTACTACAATCTTAATTTCACAGGCCAACTGATATCTATCCTACACATCCTCATAAGCTGCATTTCTTACTTCTTCTTACTTCCATAAAAGAATCTCATTCAGTAACCTTTCTACCTTGAGCAGCTTTTTGGTTTTGCACATTTGAAAGTGAAGTGAAATGGATGTCTCTTACTGGACAAGATATTACAGTCAATCAGAAAATGGAAATAATGCGAACACTGTGAGAGTAGATATATGCATGTATGTGTAGGTTGCAAAGTCGATAGTTGACTTTTTTTTGACAGGATAGCTTGTAGAAATGAATGAACGGAAGCGACTCTTACTGGACGAATCAGATAAGCTGTTTTCGAGAGTCGTTCTGATTGGCCCATCTAAGAAAAGGTATTTCTTTTCAGTCTATAGTAACTTATCTGAATATTGTCGTCTAAATCCTTTGAAGCCTGAATTAGAAGTTTTTTTGTGTGAAAGTTGATTTTTTCTTATTGGCGCTATAATAATTGTTTATTAGATTTTAATTTGCTTCAAGTTGCTACACCGTGAACTGTTTCTCTTTCACACAGAGCATTTGTTTCGCTGATGATGTAGAAATAGTTTTTCATGTACTATTTGGTTACTATTTACTTAGTACAAATATTTTCCAAGAAACATGTTTAATTAATATGAAAATCAAAGCAAAACAAAATATAATTATATTTAATAGTAATAATAATAATAATAATAATATATAAACTTAACTAACAAATGAAGTAGTTGTGTAACATTAGAGGAACAGACATTTTCGGGGCATTGAGAATGGTCTTGTAGAGACAGAAAAAAAGCTAAAAGAACTAGAAATCAGAGAGATTTTTGAAACACGGAAATGACATATCAGAGACGCTACTTGGTTTCAATGAGAAAATGAAAGAAGAAAAGAAATAAGAAAAGAAAAATAGAAGTTTTTAACGTCTGTTTCAGTGAAATGGAAAAAATTGACAATTTCAGATCTTTTCATTTGTACCCCCTTACGTCTTAAAATAACGACCAACCTTCATATTTATGATTGTTAAAGTTGTTACGATCAAATAATTAACACTGTGATAGAGGAATTTCTACGGATATTTTATTGATGTAGAATTCGCCATGAACTTATTCAGTCATTAACGAAAGAATTAAGATTCATCAGAAAATTTAAATAGGTATTTCTTGCAATAATAATATGCTATGTCTGGCAACGTTAACGTACATGTTTTGTTTTGGTGAAAGATGAACTGTAGTAATTATCCCGTTCAGTTCCACAGATTGTCAGTTGCTGGCCTTAACCGGCAGGGTTTTTCCCTAGAGGATCACTCAGCTCCGTTTATGAGCCGGTGCAATTTGGGAGCATCTCTAATTTACAGGGAACATTCTTGTAACGTTGCAAACCAGTCATATTTTTTTTGTAGGACATGTGATGTTGTTTCAACGTTACTGTAACGTTTCAATCAACTAATTTCCTGACCTCAACGTGACCGCTTACCCCCAGCGCTGTCACAACATTATGGTAACATTGTAAAGTGCTGTAGCCAAAAAAATTTTGCAGTGGTCGAATCACATCAGAATACTTTTCCTTAACTGGACAATATATTTTTATCACTTTCAACGTGGTCATCCATATTTGAGAAGACGCTATGTTTATTCGTTTTCGTTTTCCATCTTTTAATATGAATGTACATTACAGACCCTTCTTTAAATTTTGACAAAAATCTCAAGATATACAACAGAAGCACCAGACCAGATATGGCAGGATTATCCAATACACGGACGAATGTTAGATTTATAAATGTGTTGTTAGCGTATTGCTCTCCTACTCAATAATAATAATAATAATAATAATATCTCGTCATTGCTAGAAAAGCTGAAGAAATCGTGTAACATTAAAGTAACACAACAAGTGCGACACTGAGGTCCGTAGACGTATTGGGATGGCGCATTCCAACATCATCATCATCTTGTGGCCTCAGCCGAGATTGAACTCACCAAATTGGGGTATTTCATAATTTTCTCAAATAGCTGAATTCTTGAAGCTTCGCTAGGGCTATCAAGGGTGTTTTTATCGTGACATAGAGACTCCATTCACCCTCCTCTAAGAGCAAGTTTGAATTCAGAGTTTTCCTTCTCCTAGACCAGTTGCCATCCAAGGCTATAGAACCCAGTCTGTTCTGCTATTTACCCATAGCTGGAGGGAGAAGAAAGAGGATTCACACCTTTCCCAAGGGTGTTAGCACGTAAGTGAATGTAATGGATTCGACTGGAATTCGAACTCGGCTCTCCGATTTCTCAATCCAAGCCGCTATCCATTACTCCACCGTGCCTCCTGAACATTAAAGTAACAACTAATGCATTGGAAAGCGTTCTGAAAATAAGAGTTGAAAATTAGGGAAAGAATTCAACACAAGACAACGTCTTTGTTGAAAACAGAATAATCAGAAGCTATGGAAGTTTTTATTGGCGTCAACAGGCAACGAATTAATTCATACATAAGGATGGATTCACTTTCTTTCGAAGTAATAAAATCATTGTATTGCTTTGTGTGTTATCTGGATTTTAGTGTTATGTCGGCAAATCCTCAGTAGGCACCCCAACGTTGCATCAGCAGAAAGTTTTCTTTTGGTTTCGTTTTACACATTTTATTTTAGGGGCGGGGGAATAATCGTTTATTGGATGAAGCGAGAGGAGAGGGAGTATACAGAAAATGGATGTCAAAAGATTTGCCAGTTACCTATCCTTTCCTGGTGTGTGTGTGTGTGTTCACTCTGTTGTGCAAAGGAATCTGTTCGAGGGAGGAAGGCAAGGATGGTCATCAGAGCTGTTGATTTCTCTACTCTTGCAACTGCTCGTTTTCGGTCTTATAATCAAAGACCATCCATGAATTTCATGCCCACGGGATTCAAACCCTAGTTCGGATATTAAACTTCTAAACAGTACCAGTTGGGGTCTGGAATTACACTGCAATTATGATCTATTTTTTGTCGTTTTTTTATTATCTCACATTGACACAAAAATATTGATAGAGATAAAAATGTTGATTAATAGTTCCACTGCACGAGTGCCATTTTCACAAGTTCCAAATGATTTCTATATTAGCATTGATAGCAACGAGGTTGTGTCAACAGTAATCTTCAACTTCTAGAATTCGAACTCGGCTCGCCGATTTCGCATTTAATTCACTAACCATTAAAAAATCTGCGCAGTTACAATATTATCTACAATATTAAAAATATTAATATTAGTAACCTTTTATTTTTTATATTTTGTTTATTGATATAATATTCAGTTTATATTAAATTACTAGTTTACTTATGGAGAATTTAATTTAAATTACTATCAAACATTAAATTTCTTTTTAAATATATAAATCTGTGCTTTTCCAGATTGGCCGATGCATGCCTACATAGATTAATTTCCCTCTCCAAATTTATATCCTCCTCTCTTTCCTTCAAAATCTTAAATCCATCTCTATTTTCTTACATCTTTACTTCTCCCCTTTTTTCTTTTTTTTTCTCTTTATATCGTTTCCGTTTAACTAATACTGAAGAGGGGAATTAACCTATTAAATTCCCCCTCTTCAGTATTAAATATTGTAACAAAAATAAATTTAAAAGCTTTCCCTCTAAATCACCTTACATAAGCTTAATACTGCCCTTCAAAAGTGTAAGTTTCATTTTTTCATCCTTGGAAGTGAGGTCTGATGATCCAGGGAAAAAGAAACTCTGGTGAAATAAATTATAACAATGGAACCTTCAAGTGGTCTGTTTTTCTTTAAATTAAATTAGAGATAGATAGATAGATAGATAGATAGATAGATGCTAAAAAAACGTATGGATATACTTTCCATCCGATATTTTTTTACTTCAAAAGTTATTATAGTTGATACTCGTATTTGAAATAGAAGACCACTTCTTATTTTTACTTTAAACAGTGTGCATGTATTACGTCTATCGTATGATCGATAGACGTAATACTCACTGTTTAAAGTAAAAATAAAAACGAGGCGTTTATTTCAAATACCAGTTTCCACTAATAAGAACGTTTAAATATATATGTAGGGCAAGAGTTAAGTGCATTGACAATGAAGCAGATTATGTTGAAAAATATTCATTGTATAAATAATTTTTCATCGTTAAGCTGTGGACATATTGATGTGCCTACAAGCACACGCATATATTAGTATAGTAAAACATTTATCTTTCTATATAAAGAGAAGAAGAAACTGAAAAGTTTAAATGAGTTAAGTAACATTTACATAAATTGTGTATAAAAACGTCAATGGTGAATTACTATTTATACAGAATTTAATTAGCGAGTTACTTAGAATCACATGACTTGTGAAAAATTCTACATTAGGCACAATTAGACATTTTCCACAAATCTACTTTTATTCGAGATAAATATGGTGATATTCTAAGCATAGCTTAGATGTGGCACAGGGCCGAAAATATGAATAGTGACAGATTTACTTATAGGTTTAGCAGACCTCGGAATCAAGGCAGCCTTCAGCTAAGGTGTATAATATTTTTGACACTGTCATAGGCCTTTCTTACACATGCTGTCATAATACACTGTAGACTCTAAATAGCCCTTCAGTAATTTTAAACACCTGTCACCATCCACGGCTTTACTTAAATTGTTTAATTTTACACTCTTCTACTTATCTCTACTCGTGAGAATAACATATTTGGAGGAGCCTCACAAGTGAAATAGCATGGGGCCTTTCTTCATCTAAATCCGACCCTGAGTATTGGGCATCCAGTGAGGACCGAACTCACTATTTAGTCGCAATTGATCTATCGAGAGAAGCTTGCTAAATATTGCACCAAGTGGATTACCCAATTCAAGATAAATATGAGGATGGTTTACTTAGATAACTACGCACATTTTCATAAATTTATACATATGCGAGCTGTGTGTGTGTGTGTGTGTGTGTGTGTGTGTATGTGTGAGATATACTTTATTTTCTGGGCTCTGAGGCGCATAGTTTATGAGTGTATTTAAAGGATAGCTGCCCAGAAAAAAAAACTGATTTTAACCAAAACCATTTTGATCTTGTTAGAAAGAGCTAAAAGCTTTGCGATACGTAATGAGGAAAGAAAGCTCAGGGAATTTAACTCTCACATAGTAGACTGAAAGCGAAAGAAGCGGGAGAAAACAGCGAGTAACCTCGCTGACGATTTTGAGTAAACGGACAGCGGGATAAGGAAAACAATGCAAAAGCAAGTTAGTAAATGCGCAAGAGCAACAAAGAGCAGAAATTTGTGGAGAGTCATGACCGCCCACGTCTGAAAGGGACATGGCACATAACAAAAATGGATACTTACTTGGAACACATATCTGGATACTGAGGCAGAAAAATAACAAATGAACCTGAAAAAAAATATCATAATCTGTTCACTTTTGCATCTTTTATACACATGGCGTCGTGTGTTCAGCTTAATCGGGCCAAACCCAAGCCAAACATTTGAAAAATTATAAAAAGTCCAAGTATGTTTGTAATAATTTATTTAGTTTATTTCAGTCATAAAATCATTTAAATAGACCAGAGTCTATATATAAAAAAAATTCTATGACTTCCGTTAGTCCATCCGTCCGTCCGTCACACACCCTAAATTAGCCATACATTGACTGATCAAAACCAAATTTTCAAGAGAAGTGCAAACATGTAAGGGGGTACAAAGTACAGTTAGTTTTAATAAGATGCGTAGCTTAGTACAATAATTTTTCAATACTTTTTTGGCAAAATTAAAATTTTTAATATTTATCATACAAAATATCCCCATTATTAAAAAAAAAAAAAAATTTTAATAGTTAAAATAACAAACATTTATTTAATAAAAATGCAATATTGTTTTTGTATATCTTTTTTTTTAAAGTTTACATATATATATGTAAATATATATATATATATATATATATATATATATATATATATATATATATATATATAATAAACGTGCAATCAATTTACAAATACATGAATTATTCACACAAAACTAATGCAAAGGTTAATGATTTAAATGGCGAGACATCCATCATCGCAAACAATTCAAATAGTATACAAAAACCTCCAGATCCGTTATGAATGAATTGATCCTTGTTTATATAAATTTCTGCCGTATTAGTTGTTATTTTTATATAAATATATATATATATATATATATATATATATATATATATATATATATAAACAACCAGTTTCCAGTTCGTTCTGCGTTTGCAAGAATTATAAACAAATCACAAGGTCAAACGCTTCAAAAAATTAGAATTTGGCTCCAGAAAGAAATATTTACGCATGGCCAGTTGTATGTTGCATGCTTAAGAGTAAGAAATCCTAAGAATTTATTCTTCGCTGTTAAAAAAGAAAAAAGAAATTTTCTTGAAAAATATTGTTTACCATGAAGTCTTATAAAATTAAATTAAAGAAATTATTAAATCGCTTCAAAAGTATTTTGCCAAACAAATCAACTTATTAAATTGCATCGATTTGTTTGCGAAGAATGGTTGTCAATCAAGACCTTACAGAGTGACACTAGTAACATTATACTGTCAGGTGACAAGGGCAACGCTTCAGTGGAATACTCACCCAAATTGGCAAGTCTAGTTGGTGATAGAAGCTATCACAAAATAAAAAAAAAGGATCCGGCCCTAAAAACTGAGAAGAAGTTGTCACAGATCCAAAATAAGAACAAGTACGACTTTGCACTAAATAAGTATAGACATGTGAATCTACGTTAAACCAGCCTACCGTAAGATTCACAGGGTTTGTATTCAATTTAGACTTATAGACAGTTGCAGGAGTACTTCGTGGATATAGCCAACTCACTAACAGTGAAGTCTTCATCCTATGTTAGACACTCAGTGAAACTGATCTAAGGAGCGCCCATAATTTACAATTGGACGATAAGCTTGAATGTGGTAAACCTGTGGTAGTCTTTGACAGTGGTTCGAAACCGATTGGAATCAGACCCATAACATTTCAACAGACAATCTGATGCAAATGTTAATATTGTGTACAGACAACATTCTTCCAACTAGAGTTTGACATATACCAACAGATGGAAGGCTTAGCTATTGATTCGCTGTTGTCACCAGTGATGGCAAACATATACATGTAATACTTCGAGGAAATTGCTTTAGAAATGGCACTTTCGTAGTGCTAACATTATGGCTGAGATACATAGATAACACCTTCATACTCTGGCTGCACAACCAAATACTGCTGGACTATGTGAACCCGTTAATGATGGAAGAAGAATATAACTATCAGCTAGCCTTCCTGAATCTCTATCTATAAAAGGCAGGATGTGTGTGTGTGTGTGTGTGTGTGTGTGTGTGTGTGTGTGTGTGTGTGTGTGTGTGTGTAACGAATGCACGGACGCAATTTTCGACGGATCTGCACCAAAATTTACATGTACATGCTCCAAGTTAGTTGGAAGGCCAAGACCGACTTTGCATTTCCCAACTCCCATTGATAGTGGAAATAATCGATTTTTTCATGCTTCTACGGCAGTTTTCATGTAGTTTGCGTCCATTTTCTACTGGCCAGAGTGAGATCCTATAGCTGGCTGCCACGAATAGGCAGGAAGATTCATTTGGCCAGCATGAGAGCCAACAGCTGACTTACATGAATGTTAACTAGCATACTAGCATGCAAAAAAATCGATAGCTGCATTCGTCACAAATGGGAAAAATTTAAATCTACATGGCACTTTACTCCAATTGGCTCATTCGCTTGCTTAAATTCAACGTTGATTCTGATTCCGCAGAACTAGGTTGGGTGTGAAAAAGTAATTGTAGTTAACATTCTTTTTTTCATTCGGTTTTTCCAGTTACGAGTCTTTTTTTTAAAGCTGATCGTTTTGTGTTCATTTTGTTTACTTCTTTTTTCGAAACAGATTTAATGTTTAGTATAGTGCTTAGAAAAATTCGCAGTGTGAGATAGGCAAGAAGTTAGGTATATAGCAACATCAGCACAGCAAAGGGCACTCCTTTAAAGGCAAGGAAGGGCAAACATATTTTAAGTCAAGTGATAGCGATTGCTGTATGAATCGTACAATTTTTGAATCAAGCACGGGCAACGCCGGGACATGCTGCTAGTGTACTAATAACTCGGACAGAGAATGTGTTCAAAACATCTGTATATCGCAAGCCAGACTTCATCAGAAGATACTTCCACTTCAGATTCCAGCATCCATTCAGTGTGAAGAAAGGGGTCGTTTGATGCCTACAACATTTGGCAAAAATCATAAGTGGCAACCCAGATATATACCAACAAGAAATAATCAGCATCAAACGTACTCTTCAGAATAACAACTACCCGGCAAACATTTCATCAGCGTCTGAACCGACGTGAGAACCGAAGAGACAAGGAGGATGACCAGAAAAATGCCACGATCTGCCTACCTTACGTGAAGGGCTTATTGGAATAGATTCGGTCCATACAATATCAAGACAATATTCAAAAGCAGTTCCACTCTATGGTGAAGTCTCTGTCGAGTAAAGCCTAACAGGAGGGAGGATATGAAGAATTGCGTGTACTTGATCCCTTGCAGTTGTGGCAGCAAATAGCAGTAGCGAGAGGCTAATCATGCATGGAATGAAAGGGGAATGAAGTGAAAAATACTGGACAAGGAAGAATACTGGAGAGTTAGAAATCTGAATGAATCGTGGCATATGCTAGACTATGAGGACCTCCTTAGCAGGTCTACCATTTAAATAAATACAGTATAAGATCCGCTAATAAAGAAAGACAAATGACTAACAGGGAAGTCCCTATCCTATGTTAGAAACTCAGAACACTTAATGAAATTGATCCAAGGGGTTCTCATTCATAACCATCAGATAAGCTTGGGTGCGATAAGCTTGTTCACCAGAGTCCCTACAGACGAGGCCCTGACAGTGGTTTGAAACCGATTGGAATCAGATCCCTCTCTGAGGTAAATTACTAATATACTCTGATGGGAATGCTGATGTTTTGTGTATAGACAACATTCCTCTAACTAGTAAGAAGAAAACTTACCACATCCAATCTTGCCATTTTGTATAGTTTCATAATAATTGTTCTGATGTTCTTTCTTCTTTGGTATCTAGACTTAATGAATTTAAATGTACTACTCGATTGGCGGCAAGGTCTCATCATTTTACAGTTGAAATGGCTAGATCCTACCTTAAGTTCTATGCTAACAGTTTCTTCTTTCGTACTTCTTGATTGTGGAATTATCTTCTGGTCTCTTGCTTTCCAATCAATATTAATCTTCAAAAATGTAAATGGAATATCAATCGTTTACACTATTTACATTGTTCGGGCTGTTGTCCTCCTCTTTATTGTCATATTTACGACGTTTCGGCCGTTGTACGCTCAGTCCTTTTTCAGGTATTATACTTTGGAATTTCGAACCGAACCCCTTATTGCGTCCACGTTCTAGTTCCACGTGCCATGCCTTTTATGGATGTCTCAGTTTCAGTTATTTGCCTTTAGTAACTCCAACGTATATCGCCTGAAGAAGGCCGGAGCGTACAGCAGCCGAAACGTCGTGAATATGATAAAGATGTAAACAGCCCGAATAGTGTAAATAGTTAGAATACCACATCTCAGAAATATAGACAGATTTTAATGTCAATCGTTATCTCTCGTCTTCTTAATTCATGTTCTTTTTCCTCTTCTCTCCTATTCTTTTTCTCATATTCTCTGATACTATGTAACCCTTGCGTCTTAGTGACTTTATTTCCTTGCTTGAAGCGAAATAAAATAGAGCTGTTTATTTAGTTTTGTTAACAAGACAAAAGTTAACTTTTTTTTAGAGTATTTAACATTATTTAATATGTTTATTTTATTTTTTGAAGACATTTTCAACTATCAACAAATTTCATAAAATATTCCTTGACAGTCAGTGACATTGTTTTACCTTACTTTAAAATGAATCTGCAATAAACAAAACACGCGCAACGATAGGCAAAGAATGAGCGGGTGTGTCATTATTCGTTGTGTGATAATCAAAAGGAATAATGCATTATTTCTTAGCCTTGTTTCCGTAAATATTAATTGCAAACCATCAGTTAATATTAAATAACATTTCAAAGAACATAACAAAGGATAAATCATTTTGAAACGAGAAAAAATCCAGTATTTTAATTAAATAATTGAATTTAATGAAATAAATGAAAATAAATCTTTCAAAAATAATTTTTTTTTCAGCGTAAAATTCTACAAAACACATTTCAAACGCAACGCAAGCCTTTTCAAACAAGAAAAATTTTCATCGCAGTTTTTATCTGAACATGATTCTCAGCGTCTGTTGAAATTTGAAGTAAGATTTCAACCGAATTACGTTCTTTGACGACTTATCTTTTAAACATGTAAATATTTTTAGTATTCGAAAGATGT